AAAATAGGATCCATTATCTTATTTTTCTTTTAATTTTAATTTTTTTTAATATGAAAAAGTGTGAATTTACCATATTATCCTCATTCAATTAATAATTTCAAATCTTAATGTTTACATTAACTAAGAGCATTTTCTAATATTTTGAATGTTTCATCATTCTCTGTCTTCTACTTTATATATATATATATATATATTATGAGTAATGCTACACTTACTACATTCTGGAAATTGAAAAAGGCATCAAGGCAAAGAAAATAAAAACGTTGAAATTTATTAAGAGTGATTTGTTTGACAAGAACATGATTATAGGAGATGCCGTAAGTTTAGGAAGGTGTTTTCATAAACTTGTCTTTTTTTGATAGTGGGATATATTGTAAATTAATTAAAAAATTATAGACATACTAATTGCTTACTTGACATGACACATAAGTTACTGGATTGCAATTAAACGACAGAACTTATGGACTATATCCATTTTATCTTGATGAAAATAGACCTATATCTAAGAAGCACTTTTAATATTCCTATCAGTTTACATTATTGGTTGTATTTTGCTGTAATACACTCTACGAATAACGACAACATGAACGACCGGCACAGTGCCAATTTATCCACAACATGTTCTTCACCAACGAGCCTAGTTGCTTTTTTTCTTTTAGGCTTTTTATTTTCTTTTTTCGTTAAAAATAAACCTAACAATAACTAAAAAAATTAATGTATGATGCATTGGGCTTGCTCTTTTAAACACCTTCAACTTTAGCATCTGCTTAGAAAAGTCAACTTCGTTGCTTATGCATGCATTTTTCACTAAGAGCTTTGGCATCTGCTTAGATAAGTCTATTAAAAATAGGGTCTATTATTATAGTTGCTCTAAGAGCTTTTGGGTTTTATCATTAGTATATGAGTTGTGCTACCCTTAGGTACACCCATGATATGTTAATAGGAAAGAAGATATGGGTTGGTCACTACATAATAGGTGAATCTTATGTTTATTATTTGTAGTGGCAGATATAAGATTTGATAATCAATTGGGGAAAATTTACATACTGAATTTAACGATAGAAGTGAATAAAGTCGATCGGAGTTTTCTAAGGCCCAAGGTCAAATTCTAAATTGTGGCTCGTCTGTATATATACTCAACACTAAATATGTAATTTTTAAAATAAAAGGAAGAACACTTGTGGGATTAAAAAAAGATCATACACTCATTTGAACCCGAGTAAACCATTCTAACAACAACAAAAAATCATTCCTTTGGGCTTAAAAGAACATATTAGATAATTTCTCCAACATTAAGGAACCTAATTCACAATTCAAAGCTCTTATTTCAGAAGCCCCAATTCAATTTAGAAATCCTAATTCGACAAGCCATAAATTCAATTTATCAAAACAAACCCAAATTCTACAAGAGAGACGCATCAAAGAAAAAAGAGAGAATGAGGAAGAAGATGACTAGAAAAAAAGTAAATGAATAAGAGAAATGTGACGGGGAGAAAGAGAAAAAAGAGAAAATGTTGATTGTTTAAAGGAAAGTTTTAGTCTACAAGAAAAGCATGATGTGAAAAGTTTCAGTGGGACAAGTGAAGCGTACTTTGTAGTACAATGAAGACAGAGATAGGGTTTATTTATTTATTTTGGTTGGGCAAATAGAGATATGATTTCAACATGTCTTTTGGGGCTGGAATAAACATATCTAGCTATTTGTCTTTTTTGAAAATTTTGGGCCGGGCAGCAGCCGACTTTGCCCTGTGTGTAGAACTGCCCCTGATTATGTGGTGCGTTTTTAATTATCAAGCTTGGACTAATTTCTACATATGTTGCGATAAAGGCTTTTGTTGATGAAGGAAACCTAATTGAGACATATAAATAAGGTCCCCTTAATATCTTATGCTGTACGGAAATTATATTAAGACTTGCACGAATGCAAGAAATAGAGAAGTGAGACAGAAAATGAAGACAACATATCTCAACTCCCAACTCAAAAACATGCTTATAAAGCTTATAAAGCTAGAGAGAGAGAGAGAGAGAGAGACATTGTATGACCCAACGCGCATGAGTGGAGAGTAGGATTGGAAGAAGGAAGTAAAGGGTACGCGAGTGATTGTACAAAAATTTGGTGGGCGAAGCAGAGGCAGGGACTGTTTGGTGGCTGCGTCATTTATCAACTTAATAAAACTCCTTTAACAAATTTAAATGATTGGATTCATTAATTTAATATTTAAAAGGCTCTCCACTACAATTTGCCACGCCATGCCCAAGTGTTCCTTTCATTTTTTTTATTTTTTATGTTAAATAAAACAACATCCACAGGAGGGAGAGAGAGTGGTTTTCCAACGTAGAAAAGCACAGCAGAGAGAGAGAGAGAGAGTGTGAGCCACCACAACAAACAGACACTGCTTTACAACAACACCAACGCACTCTCTCTCTCTGCGCCACCCTCCTTCCTTCTCAATTCACATAAATAACTCTCCAAACCCTCACCTCACCTTCATCTCTCTTTCTCTCTCTGTTTCAACTTTCATCATGTAAGAAGCCTTTCAATTACTCTGCATCCAGTGTTGGACTACTTTAGTTTCAGAAAGGTAACTGCAAATTTTCTTGTTCTAATTCTAATTCATTTGCTTATGAATTCATTGGGTAGTTTCCAGTTTTCCCTTAAAGAGACAAGAAGAATATGTATTTTCTTTAGTTCTTGAGAATTTCAACACTAATGCTAATGTGCTCTGCATCCTCTATATTTTCCAAAGACAATCCAATTCAAGGAGTTCAATATCAAAATAGAGATGTTCAGTCAATTGGGTTCTTTCTATTTGTCCATTTTTTGTGTTCTTTAATTTTGATTTTCCAGGTTTGCTTCAGGATCTGGAAGCCATTTTTGCTTGAGCTACAAGGGTGAAGAACAGAAATGTATGCCTGGTATGTAATATCTTCTGAATTTGCAGAGTTTCAGCTGTTGAGTTTTGGATTGATAATAATAAGTTATGGTGCAGAGAGCTTACTCTCTCACAGCCTCACAGCTTGTTCAAAAGGAATAAGGACAACTGGAATTTGTCTTGCAAAATTTTCGTCTACGCCATTCTCTCTGATTCTTCTCTGTTTTTATAAATATTATTTTGTTTTAAAATATTGGAATGAACGGTCTCGATCCATTGACACCTTTCATGGGTGGACTGATACTCTTGGACGGTGGGGATTCGGATGATGGTGGATAAAGTTTGGAATCACATCTTTATGTCACCTCAAAAAGTTTTCTAAGTTTTGTTTTCCGTTGCTTGAGGGCTCTTTTTTCCTTTTTCTCTTTCATGTTTAATTTAAATTTATTTACACTTGATTTTTTTTTTAAATACAAGCAATAGTCTAAATTACAGGAGAATTGAGGTTTTTACACACACACTACCACGGTGCTATGGGGATTCGAATTTGAGACTACTAGTTTGCAAGTCAATATCCTTTTTCAACTAGGCTAGACTCCGTTGGCTTAAATCTTTTTGTTATTAATTAGGATCTCTTTCAACATTTGGAAAATAAGTTATATGCAATTGAATTGAGGTTCTTCAATTTTATCGAAATAATATTTATGAAGATACGCTTAAAAGAAAGCTACGTCACTAAGATGGATTAACTATAATTAGATATCAAATTCATCATAAATATATATACATATATATATCAAATCGTAGTTGATAGAACTCAATTCCAATTGAAAAACTAAATTAATGATGTGAAATGCTTAGGTAATTAATGTGACTTATTCATGTGTGGTCGGGTATGTGTAGCAATAGTTCATTGTACCCGGCTGAGACGTAAGCTGCAGTATTGATTCTTTGTCACTTTGTTTGCAGTAATTTGTACCAAAATGTGAGAATGCTTATCAACATCAACAATTAGGAATCAGCCTGGGTTGATTCGATTGCTATCTAGAAACATCCCCTCCTATCTCTTTTGCACCTGCAAGGTACTCTCTCTCTCTCTCTCTCTCTCTCTCTCTCTCTCTCTTATAAAATGCTTCGTTTTAACCATGCTAGGACAAATCATTAGGTTCTCTCTCTTAAAATGCTACGTTTTAACCATGCTAGGACAAATCATTAGGTACATAAGATAGGAAAAGGTCTTAAGCTGAAAGCCCAACCTGGTGGGCCAACACACATCTTGAATACCCCACTTGATGACAAACTCGACAAATATAACCATATTATTGATTTTTTTAGAAGTTCTTTTAATTTGGTTTGCATGTATATATAAACCCAAAAACAGAAAACGATGAAACATTCAAAATACTAAAAATACTCTTATTAATGAAAATTTCACAAAATAAGGATAATGTAGTAAATTACCAATTTTTTATATTATCTTTTTTCGTCCCCAGAGATAGGTCATTAAGGCATAACATTAATGATGACTTTCCGTTGAAAAAAATTCATTTTTCATGTATTAGTTATTTTGGACGCATGGAAGAAACGTATTGTTTTGGCAAGTAATGCTATTATGGAATGCTAATGTGGATTACCAGTAACACACACACACACACAAATAATATGCATTTTATGGTATCTGGGTTCTTTCCATTTTATCTTACCTTCTAGAAAGGAGACGGACAAAACAGGAGAGGATCATTATGGTATAGCATTAAAGCCTTCACACTGTCTTCTGAAAACGTAATATTGATTTTCAAGGGTTAGGTATTTTGGATTGACAAAGGAAGATGTGCATGTCATGGCTTTTTTTTTTTCCAGAGAAGGACTTTTATTAAAGACGAACGCTTACCAATAAGAGATACAAAAATACAATGTGTAATGCATTTGCATATTTTAGCAATTCAATTGAAATGAGTATCACTATACAGGATACCTAAATTTGGTTATGTTTGCTTCACAAGTTTTTTTGCACGTGTATTCATGATTAGTGATGCTCATTTAAATTCTATAACTTGGCAATGGCAGTCTGAATTCTTCTGTGTGACAGAAAGGAACTTCGGGTTGATTGGAGAAGTTGTGACTTAAATGGCTAGAGTTTGCTGGCCATACTTTGATCCTGAGTATGAGAACCTGAGCACAAGAATCAATCCCCCAAGGTATTGTAGTCTCTGCATGAACAATTTAATCAAAAGTCTGTTTGTGTTTCACAGTTTCAGTTAGCTAGTGGTCCCGTTGTCATGATTTTAGTAGGAATTTCATTGTTAATAGATTAGAATGTGTTGCGAATATCAAATCCTTCGTCGCGCTATTGTAAACTTCGCATTTCAATATATAAAATGTTGGGTCTATACTCAATTCATTGCCAATTAGTTTTAGGTTGGATACTCAAACTGTAGTGCTCTGATACCATCGGCGCTTAGCATTTCCGGTGCTAATAAGTGGTGATGGAATGCTGGGACTAACGAGCACATTTGTTTATATCTTCTAGTAATTTCACATCTCTACATGAATATTTTGCAGGGTATCCGTAGACAACTCTAGCTGCAGTGACTGTACTCTAGTCAAGGTGATTTTAACTTATAACCGTAAGAATATGCTTGCTGTTGACACCTGGTTCTTGCAATGAATCATGGCATGGTACCTTAAATTAGTTTCCTGGTTTTCACACAAAAAGTTAGCTTGAAGAATTATACAACGCCACTAGCTATTTGCCTGTCTTGTATGCAAAAATTGCTTTCTCTAATTAATACCTGGTTGTAGAATGAAATTTAGAGGCAAATTTAACTTGAAACGAAACATATGCCTTCGAACTCCTGCTGATAAACCGTCCAAAGACAGGATTTAATTTGCTTCATTTTCATGTTACATTCAGTGAACATATATTCCAGCCATCATGTTGAAATTGGTGTGGGGGGGTATGAAATGTATGTGTAGGTCGATAGTGTCAACAAACCCGGAATTCTGCTTGAAGTTGTGCAAATCTTGACAGACCTTGACCTCATAATCACCAAAGCCTACATCTCCTCTGATGGCGGATGGTTCATGGACGGTATGTAACTTTCTGTTTAATAAGTATTGTTTTTTCTTTTTTTTGGTTAGTTAATCTTCTCTCTCTCTGGCAAGAAAGTAATTGCCATGTGAAATCTGCAGTTCTTGACTTAAACTCTTTAACAAATAAGAATTGATTATCCCATCTCTTTCTCCCCCCATTGTGAATCAAATTAATAAATGACAGTTTTCTTTGATAAACAGTATTTCATGTCACCGATCAACAAGGAAAAAAACTTGCAGACAGCAAAACCATTGACTACATAGAGAAGGTATGCCCCTTGGTGCTTCTTTCTTCTTTCTTTTTTGTTTTTGGTGAAACCCCTAATGCTTCTTTCTTGCCACATGCATTTCTGTGCATTTATGAAATTTAAAACAATCACCTGTTTGAAAATCCCCTTTATCCCAAACTGGATTTAACAATTTTCTTTACTAGAAAATGCAGAGGCTTGTAAAACCTTGCATTAAGGGTTTGTTTCATGTATTAAGAGCAATTGTTGTCTATGATTTGTGACTGCATAGGCTTTAGGACCAAAGGGCCATATCACAGATGTACTGAAGGCCTGGCCAGGAAAACGGGTTGGAGTGCACTCTGTTGGTGATCACACAGCCATTGAGCTCATTGGCAGAGACCGGCCAGGCCTCTTATCCGAGATCTCTGCTGTCCTTGCCAATCTTCACTTTAATGTAGTTGCTGCTGAAGTATGGACACACAATAGAAGAATAGCCTGCGTTGTGTATGTCAACGATAATTCTACATGCCAACCTGTGGATGATCCAAACAGATTATCTACTATGGAAGAGCAGCTCAAGAACATCCTGCGTGGGTGTGAGGATGATGAGAAAGTTGGTCGTACAAGCTTCTCTATGGGGTTCACCCATGTTGATAGGCGGCTACACCAGATGTTGTTTGCTGATAGGGATTATGAGGGTGGTGGACTAGCAAATGAAGTTGATCACTATCCTCCCTGCTTCCAACCGAAGATCACGATTGAGCGTTGTGAAGAAAAAGGATACTCAGTGGTCAGCGTCCGGTGCAAAGACCGCGCAAAGCTCATGTTTGATATTGTATGCACACTCACAGATATGCAATATGTTGTTTTCCATGCCACCATTTCATCTGATGGACCGTACGCATCACAGGTATATGCATTTCATGCTCGTCTGATGGCCTATACGCAAGTTCTCCAAATAAAGTTTCTCCAGCAGATCATTTTTAAGTGGTTGCTTTTCTGTTTTCTTGAAATTATTCTCTGGATTATGAAAAGGAAATATTCTTTCATACAGACTACATCTATGATATACTTGTATGTTAATGCAGAAGCTCATTAATTGTTACTATAATGTGCCCATCTGTGATGATCAATGAAGTCTGGTCACACCAATGTAATCTGGTATCTTGAGTTTCTAGACTGAACTCTGATGCTAAGTCTCGAATTCATTAGTTTTCTATTGGAATCAGTACTGGTGTGTTGTCTCCCAATAGATATAAGAAACTCGTTGAATTCGCATGTCTTGAATCTCCTTGAAGATTTGATTAAAGTACTTGAACTGATGCATATAGTTAATTGCAGGAGTATTTTATTCGTCACATGGATGGTTGCACCCTTGATACTGAAGGAGAGAAGGAGAGGGTCATCAAATGTATTGACGCTGCAATTCGGAGACGAGTAAGCGAGGTTAGTGAAAAATATATCCACATTTAACGCTTATTTTATCTTTGTTAATAGGATAAGTACAATTTACAAGTAATGTTGTATGCTTGAGCTCAAGTGGCTAACAAAATGAGGGAAAAAAAATGTCTTTAAACAGAACAGCTCATTGACTACTAAAACTTTTGTAAATTTTTCCACTAGTCAGGATTATATATTTGTAAACATTAATGGATAGCGAATACAACAAAGACATGCTTTCTTGACCGTTTTAAAGGTATCAAATTACCATGAAATTCAGGATCTAAGGCTAGAGCTATGTGCAAAGGATAGAGTAGGCTTGCTATCTGAAGTAACAAGGATCCTGAGGGAGAATGGGTTGTCAGTAACAAGAGCAGGCGTCACAACTATTGGGGAGCAAGCAATGAATGTCTTCTATGTTAGAGATTCTTCAGGCAATCCAGTGGACATAAAGACGATCGAAGCACTTCGTAAAGAAATCGGGCACACAACGATGTTCAATGTGAAGAAAGTACCAACAAGTTCTAAGGCACCTGAGACGAAGGGATGGGGCAAGACAAGCTTCTTCTTTGGGAACTTGTTAGAGAGGTTCTTGGCTTGACATGATGTCCATATGAATGTAAAAGGCACATTGAAAATGTATAGAAGAATAAATGTGTTCAGTAAGTTATCTGAACACAGTTTCTGCATTTGTACCCTTTGTATAATATGCATGCTTGTAACTTGTAACTTTTGGTCTTTGCACAACGCCTTTCGTTTTTTTCCTTCTTTTTGACATTTTGATTGTACTCCTCCTCATCACTATTATGACGTTACTTTCATTATACAACGTACAAACATTTAGCTTTCTTAATTTCTTGTGTTGGGCAACTACTCTGTTCAACCACAAAAACTTAAGCTAATGTATAACAAGTTGGCGCCCTTCCTCATGCGCATCTCATTCTCCATATATAGGCAACTTCATCATACACCTTGCAATTATTATTATTATTTTTTAGTATAAGCGATTGGAGAAGGGGGGTTTACACATGGGTGATGTGAAAGAGTTTAACCAACTGAGCTATACCATTAACTTTGCAAGTTAACAAAGTTGAGATTAGGAATGGAGATCTCAACTTGAACACCAAAGAGAAGCGGAGCTAGAAAACTTTTTATGAAGTGGCCCCAAATATCTTAATTGGAGGGGCCATTACATGAATTTTTGTTTCAAAATTATAAATTTGAAAAATTATAATAATAAATAAATAAATAAATAAATAAGCCTACAAATCTGTACAAAATAGACCCATACAACTAAAATACTCTAGACAATAACCCACCTATTGTATCTATATATATAAAGCAAAAGACAGAGAATTGTGAAACATTCAAAATACCAGAAAATGCCCTTGATTAATCCAAACATTAATAATTAAAATTATTAATTAAATGAGGATAATATGGTAAATTCACACTTTTTCATATTTAAAAAAATTAAAATTAAAAGAAAATTCAGATAGTGAATCCTATTTTTATAGAACACAACTACCCATTATCTTTTTTAATTCTAAAATAAATTTCATTTTTTTTTAAAAAAGGCCTCTCGCAGGCGCGGAAGCGCGTGCGGAGAGGCTAGTTACATTTAAATAAAACCCAATTTTGAATTGGATGCCAAAGTGTTCATATATTATGCCATATTTACAAATCATGCCATCAACCCGTCTTTGTTGCTGGACATTTTTTTCCTTAAGAAAATTCCTTAAATTTAGGATTTCAATAATGTTTTTAACTAGGCATTCAACGTGGTTTCTATTTTTTTAAATCCATCACAATTTGAACCCGTGCATTAATTAGGGTTGATTATTTCTCTTTTTTCTATGAGGGAGTTTGTTAGCATAAATGATATATATTGGTCTCTTTGATAGTTGTCACATAGCATATGTGAAACAATTTTTGTACCCTTAATATATCCAACATATCTAGGTAAATTATAATTTTCCAATATACATAGATAGGTACATTATTTAATATACAAGGTATATTATTTATAAAAATAAATAGGCTCATTATTGTGGTCCATTATAAACAAATATACGTAAATAGGTACATTATTTAGTATACAATAGGTATATTATTTACTATATTATCCTCATTTAATTAATAATTTCAATTCTTAATGTTTGTATTAACCAAGAGGATTTTTTTGGTATTTTGAATGTTTCACCATTCTCTGCCTTTTACTATATATATATATATATAATTAAATTTGAAATATTGATAACTAACCAATTAATATGAAATTGAAACAAAATATGATCAGGTTGCCGGATTTGGAAAAACAGACCAAGTTTTAATTATACATTTCGTTTACAAAATATAACCAATCATAGTAAATAAAATAAAAAACATAATAGGTATATTAGAACCAATTAATTTCAAAAACATACGACACTAATTACACACCAAGTTTTAATATATATATAAAATAAATAAATAAAACTGACCCACAAAACTTATGCAAAATTGAAACACCATTATGACATTGAATAGCAAACAATTTGAAGAAAGAAAAAAAAAAAAAAAAAATTAAACAAAAATACATAGGGTTAGGGTTTTTGGAATTGAAAATATATAACATTTACTATGTTAGGCTTGATTAGGTAATTCGCTTAGGTAGATCCTACTCACTGAATTTTACTTATAAAAATTGGGTTTAATTTATAGAAAAATAAAAGGATGGGCTGTAGGTAAGAAAAAATGAATTTAAAAGGGAAAACCCAAATTTACTATTGATATTTCCAAAAAACAAGGAACTTACTCTGGAGAATATTCATATGCTTAGTAGACATTGTGCGATCATTCATTATCAACATGTTTTTAGAGAGGCGTGTGCAAGTGTTTTCTGCTCTACTCTTGGATGTTTTAGGTGGTGGTGTTTGTAGATGCATTTCTCTGTAGGTTTTCTGCTATTTTGTATATATATAAAATAAAAATGTAATAAGAGGAAGAAAAACAGGAGAAAGCAAATAAAAAAGAGAAAAGAAGAGAGTTGGGCATATGAAGTGGAGGAGAGGGTAAAGGGAGAAGGAGAGGTTGAGGCACGGGCTGGCTTAGAGAGAGGAGGAGAAAATCTTCTGTTTATGTTTTTGTCTTGGGTGACGAAACTGGACTGGGTAATGAATAATGGGCTGGACAACTTCGTTTTTTTAAGGAGGGTTGGGCTAGGCTACCTAGGCATGGGAAGATAACTTAAAATTTGGATCAGGCTTCAGCCCTACTTAGACAAGATTGGGCCTGTGTCTGGTCGTTGGAAATTAGGCTAGTATCTCTACACATACGAGCTCAGTTGTGGTTCTAACTGAATTGCATAATTAATTAGAAGAAGAGGATTGTGAAGAAATATCCAAAGAAAACTAATAATGCTTAACATTAATGTGGCTCTCATTAATCTTATTTTCAATGAAACAAAGAGACATTTCTTTTAAAAAGCTGATAGATTTTCTCTACTCTCCCAAGAGGAAAAAACTATTCTTCATCAGCAAGGAGAGTAGTAGGAATAATACATTAATAATCACTATAATTATGGATTCCAAGGAAAGCACTTGTCTACCGCATGAGGCACCCCTTCAACTTTCCTGCATGCACCATTCGGTATTATGAGCCAGTCACAGTTCTTCACGCAGTACGGTTTGTCTCTCAGTTGTATGTATATATCAAACCAATAAGATCCGCCATTCCAAACAAATTTGCAAAAAAATTGTGTAGAATTCCAAAAATTTGGTTGAAACTGGAATTCCCATGATCCATCAGGGGGTATTACGTGAACACCAAGATCGTCATCCTTAGATTTACAATGAACCGTAAGGTCGACGCCTAAACGCAAATAGTTGATGATGTTGACATGCGTTTCAGGATTGACGACCGCTGCATAACATGCAGTTCTTAGCATCAAAAGAAATGTTAGCACCACCACAGTTCTAAAAGGGACAACCATGCTTGCTTGTTTGTATTTTTAGTGTATGAACAAAGGGAAAACGTGCTTCTTATATATACCTTAAACAAAGTCAAATATGTCTAGTTGTGTATTTTATAGAAAGATGACCCTTTCCTTTTATGTTCAAATTCCTTAAACACAATTCTTAGCCAAGGGAAAATGAGACTAACAAGAGAAGGAGAGAGTCTAGGTTTTACATATTTTATTTCCGTCCGATGATTGTATTGAATTTGAATTTTAAAAGACTATTTTGAGATAAATAAGTCCATTGGATTTTAAAAAAACTATTTAGGAATGTAATTTCTTATAGGATTTTATTTATGGATTTCTTTAATCATGATATTTTACTTTGAATTTTAAAAGATTTTATAAGAATGAAAGGACCACATAGATTTATATCTAGGCCTTGGCTAATTAGCTCACGATGCATGTGTGTGACCTACTTTTCTCATTTGGAATCTTTTTGAAAAGAGAATGGAAAAAGTTTAATGGGATTGTTTGGACCATAAATGAAAAGTAGCCCATTAAGGAGCATTGGGGTCTAGGGCTTTAGCGGTCAAATCCTCCATACTATAGTGAAATACCATTTGCTAAAATAAAAATAAAAAAGGGGGGGCATTTGGATCTTTAAACAAGAATTCTATAGTGAGGGCCTTATATATGACCCTTAGGTGAGTTCTATCTCTTAATCGTTGGATACTGCTAACCAATTTGATCCAATGGCTAAAAGATATGGCCTCGTCTAAGGGCCATAAATAAGGCCCTCACTATAGAATGACTAGGTCTTTAAATAAGCTTTGGGCCGAGAATTTGGATCAAGGGAAGAGTTAGATTTCAGATTAGATCAAAATAGGCCCAAATCGTTGTGGCCCAAACTGATTTGTTTCTTTTACCAAGGGCTATTACCTAGAGTGTAAATGCGTTTATTACACTTTACCGAAAAAGACTTCGTTTGACTTTGGCAACTAAGGAGGTTTTAGGCGGTAAGCTAAGAACTGAGCAACCACATTAAATGTGATTTGACCGTTGAAGCCATACTGAGCCAACTTGTCGGAAAATTTCCATGTTGAAGCCAGTTCTCACCGTTAGCACAAGGATATCAAAGCATTTAAGTTTACCACTATTTGTGCAAATATCCACACAGGGGAATATTCGTGGATTGATTCTTCAACCTTCAAGCTTCTTTCTCGCTCTCCTTTCTTGGTTCTTACGAAAAAGGTTGGAGTCAATAGACCACACCCGGAAGGTGTTGGCTAAAGGCCCTTTGATGCATAAATCAGTTAGATGATATTGGGAAAGATATGAAATAATGAAGTCGTGTGTAAGGGTGGCCAGAGCAGTGAAGGAGAAAGGAGAGAGAGTGGCATGAGAGATGGAGTTTCTAGGGCATGAGATGGGGTTTTTTCATAGAATAATTCCCATAAGGAATGGAAGGGTAAACTGCCGAATACCCCTCTGGACTATTTTGACTGTCGAAATGTTCACCCTAAATTATTTTTTAAGCTAATTTAGCCTCCGTATTAAATTTATTTGCCAATTTCACCCCTATCGTTAGCTTGTCCACAATTCCATCCAAATGCCCATTAAAAAAACACCACGTGAATGGTAATCTCATCCTTTTATTCCTTAAACCTCATCCCCTTTTTACTGCTTCGTTCGTATGCCCAATTCCCAAATCAGACTTCGGGTTCAAAGTGAAACTTTTAAAAAATGGTGAGAATGAAAGAGAGACAACGATTGAAAGATTCGAAAAAGGGTAAGAGAGAAAGACAGACTGCGACTGAGAGATTCGATTTGGAATATATTTTTTGACTTGAAGTTTCCAAACAAAGGTGCGACAAAGGTGATTTGGTAAAAGGAACATATTGAATAGGAGAAAGAGTCAAAGACAATGAAAATCAGAGATGGTGGGGAAGCTCACACATACAGTAAGTAACTTACTTTATTTTATTTGTTTGATGCAATTGTTTGGGTTTTATTCTTTGTTGTTGTTGGATTTCATTGCTAGACTTCATAAAAAATCATAATAAAAGGAAGAAAGTGGTCCATATGGATGTTGTTTGTTGACTGAGACTTTAACAAAGTTAGGTTGTAAATGTGGTCCCTATGCATGTTGTTTGTTTATTGTTTGTATGGTTGTTTGTCTGACAATATTTAACTTTTTTGTTGTGTTTGTATTGTATTGTATTGTATAGGGTAGATAGTAAATGTATATTGTATTGTACAGGGTAGATAGTAAATTCATGAGAAAATTAATTGTTGTGCAGCTAATCTTGACATGTTCACACTTGAGGTACATTACGGGGCCTACTTTGTTGATGGTTTATATATGGGAGGTGTTGTACAATGGGTTGATGGGCAAGATGCAGATGAGGTTTCAATGCTTTGAGTTATTTGAAATGGTTAAACACCTTGGTTACGATGAGCAAAACATTCAATACTATTACAAGCACAGGAAAAATGGCTAGGTTGAAATTAGGACATATAAGAATTATTTTGAAGCATTGAAGTTGGTGAAAGGGAGCCATCTGTTTGTGTTATACATAACTAAAATCCAGCACATAAGCCTCTAAATGTTCAGTCCCCAGTATTCTCTACATATGCTGAAAATGCTGAACATAATGAAGACACTGCTCATGCATATGATGCTGATGAAGAAAATGGGCAATATGAGTTTGTGGATGTTAAGATAGAAGAAAAATTTGGTGAGGCAGAGGAAAAATATGGTGAAGTTGAGGTAAAAAGTGATGAAGCTAAGCAAGGTGGGGAGGGTGAGGAAGAAGATGATAATTTCATAGATAGTGAGTTTGAGCAAAGTGACGAAGACGACAACATGAATTTTTATAGGTATGTTGTAACTGAAGAGCAAGATGATAGGCATAAAGAATCAGGTGAGGGTGACACTGATGGTTATAATACATTAGACTTAGAGAGTTTGCATGAAGATAATGAAGATGAAGATGGCAAGAAGAGAGGTTTGAGGCAGCCAAAATTTAACCAATACAATAAACAACATAACCTTTTAGATCCAAAATTCTACTTGGGTTTGGAGTTTCCTAATATGCAGGAATGTAGAGAGGGCATAAAGTACCATGCATGCAGGTGTGCTAGAAGACTAAGGTTTGTGAAGAATGAGCCTAATAGGGTGAGGCTGGTATGTGATGGTAATAAAGAGGGTGATAAGGCAAAGAGTCATATTAAGGTTGATAAGGCAAAGAGGCATAGTACGAGTGATAAGAGTAAGAGGCATGGTAAGGGTGAAAAGGGTGAAGATGAATCTGAAGATGAACTTGAAGATTGTCCTTGGTTATTGTATGTTGCACATGTTGGGAAAAGACCCACTATTAGAGTGAAGACATACCATCCAATTCATACTTACAGCATATCTCAAAGAACTATGTTTGCCACTTCACAATGGTTGGCTAAAAAGTTTGATGAGGATCTCAGAACCAATCCTAACATGTCAGTTGCTGACTTCATGTCATTGGTGAGGAAACATTACAATATAGATGTTACTAGGGACCAATGCTACAAGGCAAAGAATTTGGCAAAGGAAAGGATTCAACGAAGCATTGAAGAATAATATGCAAAGCTGTGGGATTATTTCGAGGAGCTTAAGAGGCAACACCTAGGGAGCACAGTTTTAGTGAAGACATCATTACAGGGAGATGATCCAGTTTTTGAGAGGCTTTATATATGTTTTGCTCAACTGAGGAAGGGGTTTAATGAAGGATGAAGAACCATGGTTGGTTTTGATGTGGCTTTCATCGAAGAACAACATCCATGACAACTTTTAAGTGTTCTTGGGATTGATGCCAACAATGGCATGTTCCCAATAGCTTTTGGTGTTGTGGAGACAGAAAGTAAAGACACATGGACATGGTTTTTAGATATATTCTTTAATGATGTTGGGGTAAGAGGTACTGGAAATGGGTGAGTTTTTATCACTGACAAACAAAAAGGACTGAGGCAAGCAATTAAGGCTTTAAAGCCAGATGCTGAACATAGACATTGTGTAAGGTATCTGCACAATAATTTCAAAGTTGCTGGGTATGGTAGTTTGGCACTTAAACAAAAGCTATGGACTGCTGCTAGAAGTACAACACTTCCTTGGTGGGAAGCTGAGATGGACAAAATTATGGAAATATTTGCCCCAACTCATGCATGGTTTAAGGATATGCCAACAATTCATTGGAGCATGTCACACTTTACTACTGGGACCAAGTGTGATATACTTCTAAACAATTTATGTGAATGTTTTAATTCAGCAATTTTGGAGGCAAGAGATAAATCAATAATCACAATGGTGGAAAGAATAAGAACATATTTGATGTTGAGAGTTGCAAGAAAAAAGGAGGTGAAATGGACTCAAAGAGTTGGGCCAAGGATCTTTCAGATTATTGAAAAGAATTTGAAAGAGAGTGGCTCATGCATTGCACAGAATGCAGGTGGTAACAAGTTTCAAGTCACCCATATGCTTGGTGGGCAATATGCAGTTGATCTAAATACTCACTCTATGTGGCATCCCATGTTGCCATGCCATGGCTGAAATATCAAGGCAACAGAAGAGGCCAACGGCTTATGTCAATGAGGTGTATAAGAGAAAAACTTATGATATGGCTTATAGCAATTACATTTCACCAATGCCAAGCCAACAATTATGGAGGAAATCAAGTCATAGGCCAATTAAACCCCCATTGTATTACAAACAGAGTGGTAGGCCAAAGAAGGCAGGGACTAGACCCATTGATGAGATCCCAAAAGGTGCTAGTAAGCTTAGAAGATATGGAATTGTAATCCATTGCTCAGTACGTAGAGGAGAAGACCATAATGCTACTAATTGTGGAAGGGCAAATGGCAATATGGGAAGAGGCAGAGGGAGAGGCAAAGGGAGAGGAAGAGGAACCAACTCAGTCCATCAATCTGAAGAGGAACTCCAATGTAGACAAACAAAGTTACAGGTAAAGAATGTGTAATTATGATTGAATGTTTTAATTGGATGACTCATTTAAATTGTTAAAATTGTGATTAATTTCATTTGTAGACAATTGGAGGAGGTTTGACAAGGATTGTAGCTACTGCAAGCCAAACAGCTCCAACCAATGTTGCTAGCCAAGCAAGTCGAACCAATGTTGCTTCACAACCAGCTTCATGCAATTTAGCTTCACAAGCAGGTCCAAACAATTTTGATTCACAACCACAATCTGTTGTTACCACTCAAAATACTAGCAGGCCACAAGGAAAAATGTTCTAATCCCCTGCAAAAAAAGCAAGGCCATAGAGGTAAAGTAGATGATGAATTTCATAGGTATTTTGAACAGATGCTATTTTTGGATGGATTTTGGAATGTATATTTTAAACAGATGGGCTAGTAAATGTTGGAATTTATATTTTGAACAGATGGCTAGTAGATGTTAGAATGTGTATTTTGAACAAATGACTATTATGGATGGATTTTGAATGTATTTTAAATATTGGAATGTATATTTTATAGTAGATGTTGGAATTTGTATTTTGAACAGATGGCTATTTTGGATGGATTTCAGATGTTGGAATGTATATTTTTCAACATATGGCTATTTTGGATGGTTTTCAAATGTTGAAGATGTTAATATATTGAATTTGGATGTTGAATTTTGAAGTGTTTCACAGATTAATCTACACCAAGAATGCCTACATTATGTTTATGTTGTAATTTTGGCTCCGTATTTTTCTTTTGCTTGATACTGGTTCTTGGATTAGCGTAGGCTTTATGCCTTGCTTTTGTTGTACTACTTTGTTTGCAATTTCTGGGTATTTTGCCTTGGCTTGTGCCAAAGGGTAAGTATTCAGTAACCCAAAAAAACAAAGAAGGCTTACATTCAACCAAATTCATTAAGCCAAATCTACATTGAACCAAATCAAAAGGCCACTATATTCGTTAAACCAAAAGAAGGCACAAGAAGGCCACTACATTCAACCAAATCAAAACCTACATTCAACCAAATAAAAAGCTAACTTATATAGTAAACAACAACAAAATTACAACCAAACAACTCAGCAGCCCACTTCGAAATTTTTTCTCTCTGTCTTTTAGCTCTTGCACAATCTTCTTGTCTTTAGCTATTTTCTCTTTCAATGAGTTGATTTGTCTCATCAATCGACATTTGACATGTTTGGCACGCTCATACATTTTTGGTTCCTTCCAAGCCTTCTAACCACAGCCACCACTATACTTCTCTCTACAACACACATATAACCTCATCCCTGCAATTTCATCAGACCAGCAAACAATCGTTTTAGCCTCAAATCCACACTGGCATATACGCACCATATCATCATCCGTAATAAAAGTGGTCAAACTTGATTCGATAGAAACTGCATGTTTGTTCCAATGCATCCTATCTTCAACTACAATTTCTTCTCTTGTTCATGAAATTGATGAACATAAGCGACATGAGAAGGTTAGAACGCCTGCAAATAGGGTTGGGTTCTATCATTAAGGGTTGGTTCTGTGAAAAAAGGTCGTTTATGTCGAATCTCCAAGTCTGATTTCATACGAAGGCTAAAAGGGGTGGTGTCGTTCCAATAAAAGGGGGCAAAGGAATAAAAGGACGAGATTACCCTCAACAGACGGCTCACGTGGTGTTTTTGACGGGCATTTAAATGAAATTGTGGAAAAGCAAACGGCAGGGACGGAATTGGTGAAAACATTTAATACGGAGGCTAAATTTGCTGAAAAAATAATTCATGGTGGACATTTCGACAATTGAAATAGTCGATGGGGGTATTCGGTAGTTTACCCGGAAGGGAATTATTCTCTCCCTTAAATGGAGAGATTGGATCAATCAGGGAGATTTAATGAAAATCAAATCCCTAAATTATGGTGATATCCCTATCTTAAGTCTAAACAATTGGCTAATTAAATGGAGCAGAATTGTTGACCTACGGAATATTCTCATTGTCCATATGGCGCCTCATGATTGGTTGCCGAAATTAGGGACGGACCTTAAGTTTGGCTAACCTGGACTATAGCCCAGGTGGCTTTTTTTTTCAGCAAAAAAAAAATCATAGCTCACCCAATTTAAATAACCTAGCCTCATTTTATTCTCCTCCATGAACAACATGTAGTCAATAAAAAGAGAAGAAAAAAAAAAAGAACTCACACACAACACAACACGTAGAAAGAAAAGAGAAAAAAAAACTCACACACAGCATGTAGGAAAAAAAAATGAAGCACCCTACCCTTGCACGTAGAGAAGAAAAAAAAACGTATTTGTTGCTGCTGCACTCACCTTCAAGACTCAATTCAAGTGAACCAAGTTCATATATTCATGAGGTATACTTCTCTCAATTTGTTGATGTTTTAATTTGAGGATTTTTTTTTTTGGAGTGTATGAAGTATTAATTAGGATTTGCAATTGAAACTTATGAATTATCAAATAGGGATTTGCAATTAGGGCTTATCAGTTTCAGTTTTATGAATTATGAGGATTATTATAATAGGATTTTATTATTGATTTTATTGTTCTTGCTTATTTTTTTTTTTTTTTTTTTTTTTTTTTTTTATTTATGAAATTACATGGTACTGATGAGTTTTTCTATCTACTTAGTACATTTGTACGTAAGGTAATTTAACCCACCCTATTTTGAAATCCTAAGTACATCCCTGGCTGAAATAAGTGTTCCCACAACCAGCTCACCTGCAAAAGAAGGACTGACAGCAAATTCAACCATCTCTTCATCAAGCATGCAATTTCAAACATCAAGAAGGCTATATATACTAGCAAGTTGGAAGAGCACGATGCACAACTCTTTTCTCAGGAAAAAAAAAAAAGGTGTCGATCAACATGATCTCATTGAACTCAAATGCATTTCTCATGTATTAGCAAGGGCGGATCCACGTAAAAGTTGGAGTGGGCTCCAGCCTAGTGCAAGATTTAAAGTTACTAGACTTTGGTGCAAATTTTACGAAGTTGTCCCTACTCTCACAAATATTAGCCTACCCCTCTTTGCCACATATTGTCTCTTGGGTTGCTTTTTGTCTTTTAATCTAATAAACCAATCAAATTTTTTTGCTTTTACGTCTTTTGCCTTCTCTCCTTCTCTTCTTCGTCCTTTTCACTTCTACTTCTTTTCTCTTGTGCTACATTTCTCTTCATTTTTTTTTGTTTCTCTCTGCTTTATTTCTTTATTTCTTTTCTTCTTCTTTGTATTCGGGTTATTTTCTGCTTCATTCTCTTCCTCTCTTTGTGTGAATCACTGTTTGTCCCCATCTATCTCTCTCTTACTCTCATCGCTCCTTCTCTCACCGACTCTCTCAACTTTACCTCTCCCGACCCTCTCTCTCTCTCTCTCTCCTCTCTCTCTCTCTATTTTAACATTTAGGTTTCGGCTATTAAATTTTAATTGTTATTGTTAGGTTTTTAAGCTTTATGGTTCGGTTGTTAAATTTTTAGGATTTTTTCTTATGCTATTTGAAAGAAAAGTTGCTTCTCACTTGGGGTTCTACTCAAAATATCAGGGTGAGATTCTCTGTTTCTAAAGGTCAAGAAGGGGAGAGGGAAGGAGAAATGGTTTGTTTTATTTATAAAAAAAAATGATAATTCTTAGTTTTTAAATATTTTAAAAGATGTTATTTATTATTATTATTTTTTACTTGGAGTCCCCAAAGTCAAGAAAAATATTAGCCTACCCCTAACAAAATTCCTGGGGTCCGCCATTGTGTACTAGGATTTCCAACTGACAACTCTTGAGATATCTTTTAATTTATTTGTTGTGCCAACGCTTGATATAATTCCTAGTTGCTAAGCTAAGTCTCTTTAAGTTCTTCAATTTACATTTAAACCTTATTGTACTGGGTTGAATAGAGAAATCTTTAGTTCCAAGTTGTATTTTCACTTATTTAAGCTTATAAATCGTTTATTTATCATCAAATATTTTACAAAACCCAAAACAGGCATGCAGAACAGTTAACAACGACACATTTCTAACATGGGAGTTCATGCTTGCTTCTATTTTTTTGGTTTTTGATAGTGGGAGACTAAAGGTTAAGTAGGTGTTCTTATATACCAACAAAAAACATTCATGAATGGCAGCCCAGCTACTTATTGAATGCATGAAGAGGATCCTCTATATTTTGAGCATGTTTCCCTCATGTTCTTTTGCCTTTGGATTAGGTTTAGATAATATTGAAACCTCCCATTTTGGTAATTAAAGATGACACTAATAAATTTCTTTCCATATAAATATTATTTAAAGTGCAATTTTGGAAAGTTGTTATGAAATATGTACCAACCATACATGCATATTTAATATTTTTTTGCATCAATCAATTTTTCCTTGTGACTATTTTCAATATAAACTTGTAGTCGTTGTTTTCTTTGAACCCAAATCCTGGCCCAAGGCGATCGAAGCAACAACCCAAGGCCCACTTTTTCTTTTCTTTTTTTTTCTTTTTTTTTTCAAATTTGACGTTTTGTATTAGACATTTCCCTTTTTTTAATGCAGAAAGCGAAAAAACTAACAGAATTTAAACCCATGAGGGCATGCAAGCCCAAAGAGATCCAAGTAAAAAGAGTTCACAACTAAAAAGGAAGACTACATAGCCAAAGTTTAGACGAGATCAAAGAATGACCTAAATTACTGGTCATGACCGTTGGAGGTCAGACCATTGAAACCCATCTTTTTTTTTATTTCTATTATTTTTATTTTTATAAATGTGGTCACCATTTTAAATGTTTTCAAGTGATGTTTAAAAAAAATTATAAAAAATTCTTGGTCATGGAATATTGTTTCTAAATAATAATTTAATTAAATTAAACAATACATAGTTGTGGAATGTATGAGTATTGTACCATAGTTTTTCTCAAAATAATAAAATATGAAAGACCCTAAAATATAGCCCTGCACTATTCTTTAAAAACTTAATATTTTGAAGGGCTAAATATTTAGCTATGGACTACATTTAGCCCTATGACTAAAGATGGCCTAAAGCATTAAGACATCTCCCCTGGAGATGCTCTAACACACATTTTCTCCTTTGGTTTCTTTATTTATTTTTCTTGTTTATTTATGTATTTATTGCCAAAAACACGTAAATACAAATGAATTCATCATATGCACTCAACCCATCTGGCGTGCAATGCAAGCAGCTATAAAGCAGTGGCCGCAACCTCTAGCTGGCCTCGAGTTGATAAACCAATACATTCTTTTGTTTTTTGATAACTTGACGGCCCACGCAAAAGCCATTAGTAAATATGACTTAACTCTTGA